GTTCACCCCCAGCACGGTTTGCCGAGTCCGCACTGCGGTGGGCTCCGCAGGCCGGGAGAGTGACATGCAGATGGACATGGCCCAGCCCCGCCCGAGGGCTGGCAAACTGGCCTCGGCTGCAGGCCCAGCCTCAGTGTGCCCAGGGGCACTGCAGGACAGCAGCTCACGACTGTAGTTACTTCCAGTGGTGTGCTGGCAAATCCATTCTCAGAAAGGAAAAGGAAAAGAAAAAGAAAAAAGAGAGCTCTCCCCTCATTTACAGTTTGCTGATTGCCACGGTGTGAATACTCTCATCATGACAAATTCCAAGCTACCAGTGTGATGTCACTGAACAGAGAATCGGAAAGAGATGCTTAAAACTGGCTTTTGCCGGCTGGTGCCGGTGGCTGTAGCACAACGCTGGTTCTCCTTGGAGTCCTGGGAAGGGAAGACCTTGATTGTCACTCTGGGCTGCACATGGACTGTGACCTTTCCCAAAGTCACATGCTGCACTGAAGTGCCATCGTTAGTTGAGAGAGCCATGGGCATCACGAGCAGGCAACGTATCTCTAGCTGGGGTTTAGGACGGTCAGGTGGGAGTAGTCAGGTGGGAGTACGTGCTCAACACCTGTGAGCCTCTGTTTCCACGCCTCCTCCCTCTGAGGCCCAGGGTTGAAGGAGATGACTTCTGAGATGTACGGGCCTCCATTTGTTTATCCACTCATTCAGCAGACGTTTCCTGCTTGCCCTCTCTCTGTGCCAGGCATGACACTGGGTGCCAGGGAGACGGTGGGAAACCAGGCAGACAGTCGCTACCTTGTGCAGCTTGTTAATGCTGGAATTATGAGCGCCAGGCCCCCTGGCGCTGGGTTCTGGTTTAGGCTCCACCTCCGACCTGCCACGTGGCCTTGAACAAATCGCTGAACCTCCTTGGGCCTCAGCTTCTTCACGTGTAATTGAAGGAGTTGGACTTGAGGTTCGCTAAGGTCTGTCCCAGACCTGACCATCTGTGGCTCCCAGGAGGAAAGAGAGGACCAGAAGCCACGTGAGGAAGGGTTGGTTGAGGGGACCAGGAATATCTTCATGGAAGAGCAGCAGGCAGGAGAGCAGATTGGACCCCTGAAGGTCTGTCGTGAGGTCCCTGAAAGAGAAGAGGACAAGTTTCGTGCGGCCCCTGCTGGTGGTGCTGATGGATGGAAATTGTGATGGTGGTGGGCCATTTGGCCCCATCTTGCAAGCTCTTGAGGACAATTAGAGCTGCCCAGCCATGGAGTGGACCACCTGGAAAAGGAATGAGCACCTGCCATTCATCAGAGGCTGAGGACCACCTGCCGGGGCTCCCTGGCAGGGAGGCCATGACTGTAAAGCATCGTGATCATCAGTCCTGAAGGAACAAAAAATGTCACTTGGCCCATCGTGTTATAGGGAAAAGGCAAAGAGGATGCAAAAAGGTCACACTTACAAAACACACAAGTGGATGCCTGAGGAAAACGACTAGAAAGAAGACTATCAAAACACCAGCAATGACTGGATCAGGGTTGTGAATGTTGGTGATTTTTTCCTCCGTTTTCCTATTTTCCAAATGTTTGGTAGTGTGGTGATGTTGTTTTTCAAACAAAAGCAGTTTTATTCGTTATGGACAGTCATCTAGTTCAACCCTCATGGCGGGACAGGAAGCCTCCCTGTAACCGCTAAACTCTCTTCCAATCCCCATTGAGGCTGGATAAGCAGGGAGGGGGAGGAAGCTGCGCCGCCAATGGACGCCCGCTGAGCGCCAGCCCCTGTGCTGGGCCCAGAGCCAAAGACACAGGGCCTGGCCTGGAGGAGGGACGAAACTGTCCTATCCTCTCTCAGTCCTTGAAACAGCCATGGAGCGGGTCCTGTGTTACTAAGCAGTAGGTGGCCAGCCAGGACCCAGGTCTCAGGGTCTCCACTGTAGGTGTTGCTGGAAGAGGAAGTCAGGTCTGGTGGGTGAGCTGCCTGTTCAATCCCATAATTTGATAGAATCAAGGCCAAAGCCCTGGCAGGTAGACATCGTGGGATGGAATCTAGCTGACAAGAAGGCAAAGGGTCTTCCTGTCTCCAACCATAGGGCACATATGCACACACACACAAGCAAGCACACACACACACACATACACACACACACACACACACACACGGGCCCGGCTGAGGTTAAAAGCACCGGCAGGCTTCCTTTCTCCGATCAAATCTCCTAATGACTCTTTCCGAGAAAGCAATTCCTTGATGATCAACCCAACACACGTGGCTCTCACCCGGCCTCCACTCACATCCACTTCCTGCTTCCCAAACTCCTCTTCCCCTTCAGTGCAGCCCCCCGTCCCCGTCCCCCTCCCCCACCCAGCTAGGCGGTCCCCTTGTCACCTCCCGATTTTGCTTCCCATGGAGAAAGGCCTCCCTGTTGACAGGGCTGTGCCGGGACTTGGGCTGGCAAAACCAGTCTCCTCGCATAAAGGACTCAGTGAGTCCCGGAGACACTTGGAACCCGGACAGAATGGAATTTCTCTCTATTTTCTTTACAGCTGAGAAAACACACACAAACACAAGAGCATATTTATTGCGATATTTCTATCCCAAAGTTTGTCTTTAAAAAAAGAAGAAGAAATAAAATTAGTTTCTCTGCCCACTCCAGCCCTTCCCCACCCCCCACCCCCTTTCATGCCTTCCCGTCTCCTGGTCCAGGCCAGGGAGAAACACGGCGCAGGCCAAGCCCACAGAGAACTCCTGCGTCCCGGACAAAGTCCGGCTTGTTCAGACAGCGAGGGAAGAAACACAAGTCCGAAAACACACACACAACTTCCCATGAAGGGTGTTCTGAGCAAAGAACAGGCGGGCCTTGTGTCTGAACACGGGTCCCTACGGCCCTGGGAAGAGAGGAGCCTGCCAGTCTCGACCCCTCCCTGGCATGGAGAGGACACCTTACCCGCCACCCTCCGGGGAGCTGTTTCCAGGCCGTGACTGGTCACGCTGGGCTCGAATGACAGCTTCACGGCTCAGCAGCCCTCACGGTGCCCGCCCGAACCAGGAGCCTGAGACTTTTTTTTCTTAAAGGCAGCATCTAAGTAGAAAAATCCCCAAGGAGAAACAAGGGGGTACTTCTCAGAACTGTGGGATTTTCCAGACTTCCTCCAGCGCCAGGGGGACGTGCCTCACGCATCCCTCTCTGTACCCCCAGCAGCGCCCACACAGACAGCCCTTTCATTTCCTGGGTGACCAATGTATGAGGCAGGAGTGAAGGACAGGTGGTAGAAAAATGTCACACTCAAACAACAGGCAGGGAATGGTCACCCAGAGTCCTGGGCCCTCCCCTAGGCGTTCCTGGATGGAAACAGCAGTGCCCCGCCCCTCCGACAGCGCCCCTCCTGGGCCCCTGGGCTCCTGGGGTGCTTCCTTGATCCCTACATCCACCCAGCCCCAGCCAGTGGAGACTGAGCCAACAGCGACACCTGCTGGGCCGTCAGACTCCGACAGCGCTGAGCTCTGGGAATGCCAGCGGCGCCACCTCAGCCTCTGAGCCCCAGGTCCGCCATCCCTGCGATGCTCACAGCTGGGGAGGAGGGCTGGGTAGGTGCCGATGCAGGTCCATCCGGCAGAACAACTCGAGGAACGTCACCGGGCATGTGTCGTGGAGTGCAAGTCACAGGACATGTCTGTAACGTGACACCCTCTAGGCCAGCAGTACTCTGTCTTCGCTACTCCTTAGAACCCCATGGGGCGGTCCAGGCCGAAGCCCAGGTGATTTCGACGTGCAGCCGAGGTGGAGAGCTGCTCTGGTTGATCTCTTCTGAATTCAGTGGGTTCCTCTTGGGTCCACCAGCGCCAGCCCAGCTGGAGTCAGGGCCCCAGTTGTGCAGGGGATGCCTTTCATGTTGTGGGTGTCACACCTCTGTAGACCTCTCATGACAGCTTTCCAGCAGATGACAGTAAGGAAGGCTTGTCTTTCTAATTCCCATGAAGTCATTGTTTGGCACAGCAGACGGGCCACCGTGATCCTAGGCCCTCATTTCTCTCCTAAATTATTCATCTGTTCATTCCACAGCCTCTTCAAGAGCTCTGCGCGTGGTAGGCGTCCTTTCCTTGACTTGAACCAGGCCCCTGAATCTTTGCATGAAACCCTAGAGCATGGCTCGTTCTAAATCACACAAGATCCCTGCATTTGAAGTTGGTGGCAGGTCCGGATTTAATTAATGAGATTGAGTAACTGTCACTTCTTGTCATGCCTAGAGGGTTGTTTAGTCAGGGTACTCCAGAGAAACAGACCAGTAGGAAACACACACATCCACGTAAGAGAGAGGAAGAGATTTATTGTAAGGAGTTGGCTCATACAATTGTGGAGGCTGGCAAGTGCCGAGATCAGCAGGGTGAACTGGTAAGCTGGAGAGCTGATGGTCTGGTCCTACTCCAAGATCAAAGGCTAGAGACCCGGAAAACCAATGAGGTAGTTTCAGTTCAAAGACCAATCCAGACTCAAGACTCAGGAAGAGCTGATGGTTCAGTTCGAGTCTGAATGGAAGAGCAAGCAGTGTCCTATCTTGGAAGAATGCCAGGCAGGAAGTGTTCTCTCTCACTCGGGGAAGGGCTAGGCTTTTGTGCTATTCCAACCTTCGGCTGATTGGATGGGGCCACCCACGCTAGGGAGGGGCTCAGCTTTACTCCGTCTACCCATTCAGGGGCTAATCTCACCCAAAAACACCAACGCCCTCACAGACACACAGAACAGTTTGGCCAAATGTCTGGGCACCCTGGGGCCCAATCAAGTTGATGTATAAAATTCACACATAAAATTAACCCTTGGAATTAAACTGAGAAATCTGTGAAGGTTTTGTGAGGAAAGGATTCTTGGAGACAATATCTCACAAACCACATGCAGCACCCTTGTCTGGATGTGATTTCAGAGCCTCGGGCGTGGAGTTCCCACCTTGCGCCGTATGTCACATGACCCTCCTCAACCTCACCATGCCTTCACCATCCAAATAATGTCTCTGCCTGCCCTCTTCCAGGTGAACTATGACCACTTTACTCTTCATTTTCGTGACTCTGAGGGTCATCACTGCAGCCACCTCAGTGGAAGTTTCAGGTGAGGACATTCCCATGCATGTCTCATTTATTCGGTAGGTATGAGTCCTGGGTTCTGGGTGCTGGGTACTGAACCTGGTGCTGCTAGTCCCAGGGATATAATGTCCCCTTTCCTGGCCTTTTCCTGGCCCTGCTCCTCCCCTACTGATGCAAGTGTAACTGCGATGAGAGGGCACCCACCTGTGCACACACGTCCAGGAGCCTTGCGCAGGTAACACTGCTCCTGGCTGCCCTTGCGCCCCGACGGCTGGCGGGGAGGGCTGTAGGCAGGTGTCATCCTTCTCAGTATCCTTCTCTCTGCTCCGCGGATCTCACCTAGGACTGCCGCACACTGAACTTGGGGTAGGGACAGGACAGAGACAAGCCAAAAGAGAAAAGCTGCCAAGGGCAGATCGGCTGGAGCATCAAAGAGAAGACAGTCTGAGAAACGGAGAGAAGCCCCGATGAATCAGAGAGGACTTTGCCTTTCCTGAAAAATCATCCTCAGGAAGCCCCCAGCCTGGTCCCTTGCATGTGGCAGACACTGAGTATATTTCTGCTAATCAAGCTCTGAACCAAATGAACAGACCTCCCACTGACCCCAGGATGGGCTTGGCCCCAGCATGGAATGTATCTCCCTTAGATCCAGACAACAAGGCCCCTGCTCTGGGCCATGTTCTTTAGGGACCCCCCCACCTATGGCCTTTCCCCAGCCTCAACCCTCCCCAAAGGGAGAAAGGTCTGTGGGACCAATGGGACGGGCCCACCCGTACCTGTGCTCCCCCTTTAGAGCACACTCTGGGTACCCAGGATGCCTGGAGCCCCCTGTCCAAGTGGGCCAGGCCTGCATGGGTCCATCCTCCTATTGGGGGACCACACTGCTGGGAAGCCACCCCTAGGCCCGAGGGAGAGGTGAGGAGTGGCTGTTTCCATGGGATGTGAGGGCTGAGACAAGCACAGCGTGTGCATGCAACCCTCTTATGGTACAGAGTGAGTGGGGGGAAGAAGGGGCCCCTGGTCCTCCTGTCCCCTCCCAGCCACCAAATCCCAATGCAAAACTCTAAGGAATCTGAGGATTCTAAATTCAAACCTGTTTATTCAGGTCATTTTGAAAGGTATCATTGTCAAACAGGAAGATAGAACATAGCATTTAACAATCTGTTGGCTGATTTACAACTTTTGTGTATGTAGATACACAGTACATGGGCCTCCAGTGGTACTGGCGCTCGGGGACCCACAGATGCCACCCCGGCTGCACCCGGGGTGGTTTGCCCACACAGGGAGCCAGTTCAGTGGGGTTGGCTGAGGGCTTTACAAACCGCCGAGCTGGGCACCACAGGCACTTGCAGCTCCCCCCCGAGAGCCCCACCACTACAACCGAGCTGCGTCCGCGGGTGCCAGGGCCAAGGGAGACGTCTGCGGAAGGGGCGGGGGCTGTCCAGGACATCAAAGGTGTGGCCTGGGCTCCAGACATTCCTGGCCCCCCCGCCTTTGCCCTGTTACGCGTCCGCCACCCACAAATATCTGAAACATTTTTACTTCAACCTGTAGGCTCTCCTGGGAGAAAGTTTCATGAATTTATGACCCACCATGAAAGGTGCTGTTTTTTGGGGAAGCTGTTTCTTTCCCGTTCCCGGCAGATCTTTTACTTCCAACAGGATTTGGTCAACACACCTTCCCTGCCGACGCTCTCCTTGGTTTTCGTGGAGTCTGGTCTATGCCATCCCCTACCCCCGCAACTCCTTGCAGAATGAAATGTCTGATCCTCCCCGATGCTCCCCTGCCGGAGCCCCTGGACTCCCATCCGCAGGAGAAAATGACTTGTCCCCCTGCGAGGTCGGGCTAGCACCCAAAGCAGACCTCACCCAACGGACACATCTTGGAAGCTTTGTGTCTTAGCTTTAAAGTTGTGTGGATTATACCCACAATCATTTTTTTTCTACCTCAAAATAATTTTTTCCCCAAATCTTTGAGTAAAGCTGTCGCTTGAGGAAGATGAGTCCTGCTTATCCCATGGTGTGGCCTCCCCTGGGGTACCCCCGTTTGAGAAACAGAGGGGTGATCTTGACTCTGACGTTTCCGCTCCCCTCGTCTGGAACCCTTTCCTGGCTTCACAGTTTCTGCCTCGGGGCGCAGAGGCCAGGGATCTTGAGGAGCGCTGCTCCGGAAAGGGTGTGGCAAGGCTTCCCGGGAATTCCCGTATGACGCAGGAGCACCCCCATCGTAGACACAGACACGCTGGTTGGATTTTGTCCTCTCAGAAGAGTGCGTTTCCAGAAGGGCTGATGGGGAGGCTGGGTGGTCCTCTCTGGGCACTAACAGGTCTGTCTTCCATGCCCCTCCCGCGCAGACCATGACAACTCGCTGAGTGTGAGCATCCCCCAGCCGTCCCCGATGAAGGTCCTCCTGGGGACGTCCCTCACCATCCCCTGCTATTTCATCGACCCCATGCACCCTGTGACCACCGCCCCCTCCACCGCCCCTCTGACCCCGAGAATCAAGTGGAGCCGCGTTTCCAAGGAGAAGGAGGTGGTTCTGCTGGTGGCCACCGAAGGGCGCGTGCGGGTCAACAGCGCCTACCAAGACAAGGTCTCATTGCCCAACTACCCAGCCATCCCCAGCGACGCCACCTTGGAAATCCAGAGCCTGCGCTCCAATGATTCTGGGATCTACCGCTGCGAGGTGATGCACGGCATCGAGGACAGCGAGGCCACCCTGGAGGTTGTGGTGAAAGGTGAGGGCCCCCGACAGGGATGCTGCCTCACCCACAGAAAGAACCAAAATGTCCTCATCCGTGTGGGTCCGGGCAGGGCTGGCTGTCAGACCGGCTCCTCCGTGCACCAGTTTGCACCTCAGTCGAGGTACTTAACTTCAGTTGCTGCTCCATGACCTGGAGCTGGTAATAGGCTTCTCTCTGGACTTTTGGGGGGGATTAAATACTTTCTGGCTACAGTCACAGGTAAATGACAGTTTGTGCTTCACACCAACCCTGTGAGTCATGGGCCTTATAATCATGCCCATTTTACAGACAAGCAAACTGAGGTGAAGTGACTTGCCTAAGGTTACCCTGGAAATGAGCCAGAGCAGTCTCCTGATGCTTCATCCAGGTGTCTTGTCCCTCCTCTTCCTCCAGCCCTCAATCTCAGTTTCAGAAGCCAAAGAGAGGGCTGAAGACTCCCCAGTGTCCTTTCTCTCACCCAGGGAGAATGGCTGGGTCCTCGGTTAGCTTCAGAGCTTGGGTCAGCACCAGACTTTCCCAGGGGGAGGTACAGCGGGAGGCGCTGTCAGAGCAGGTCCACCCTGGGTGTACCTTAAACAGGACTCCCACTAGGATGCCCCTGGCCTGAGGGTGCAGGGGGACTCTGGGTGCCTCTTTCCCCAAAGCAAAGGCAGATTTCATATCGTAAGTATTCAAAAAGAAGCGCCTTGTGAGGTAGTGAGTTCCCTGTCACTGGGTGTTCCAGCAAAGTCAGAAGGACCACATGCAAATGTGGAGAGGGCATCCGTGTATCAGCCTGGACCGGATAGTTCCTAAGGTCCCTTGGACTTTGCAGCAATAGCCGGAATTCTGCAAGGGCCTCAGTGATCAGAGACCATACCTGACCAGCTCTCCCGCCCACGCGTGTGCACGTGTCTTGCAGGTATCGTGTTCCATTACAGAGCCATCTCCACACGCTACACCCTCGACTTCGACAGGGCGCAGCGGGCCTGCCTGCAGAACAGTGCCATCATCGCCACGCCCGAGCAGCTGCAGGCCGCCTACGAGGACGGCTTCCACCAGTGTGACGCTGGCTGGCTGGCCGACCAGACTGTCAGGTGAGCCCCGAGCCTGCCAGCGGAGTAGGGCATCAGACCAGGGGTCAGAGGCCACAGGGGAGTGGGGCGGGTGGTGGGGTGGGATGTTGACCAGCACTGAGTTGGTGCCAGCGTGACACTGTGGCCAGCCTAGGTTGGGGCCGGGTCATGCCTTGGGCAACACGGACACTCGATGACCCACCCCAAATCCTTGTTATTCTCCTTGCAATAGAGTGAGTGGCTGCTAGCACCCACGCCCTGCACGTCATTATTTTTCCTGCCCATTTTTTTCTTTGCCACAGTTGTTTCACTTACTGGTCTTCCTTTTTTTTTTTTTTTTTTAGAAAAACCTTGGTGTTTTCTGCATTATTGTAAACCACCTTGCATCCTTTTTGTTTTTAATGAGGCAACAGGCAAATTAAACTTCTTGCTACGTCTTTTCCTGAGTGCAGCCGCTAGGGAATGGGTTGCAGAGCGGTCCAGATAGACCCTGTCCCTGAAGGATCTCAGTGCACCGTGAGTGAGCCTGTGACGACAAGATGACACGGTTCACTCCAGCGGCATCGTAGTTCTGACAGTAAAGGCCAGAACCACAGAGCCTCAGGAAGAAAACAAAAGAAAATGTCTTTGCAATGGTGGGGTAGGCAATGAGATCTTAGGACACAAACAACACCAACCATTAAAAAAACAAGCAAACAAAACAAGATGAGACAACAGTCTAGCACAGTACAGAAGCCCACAGCTTGGCCTTAGAAAGAGCTGGATCCAAATGCCAGCTCTGGAACTTGGAAGCTGTGTAACCTTAGACAAATTGTTTAACATCTCTGAGCCCCAGTTTCTGTAAGTGTAAAATAGATTCATTATAACACCTGCCTCGTTAGGTTGATTTGAGACTCAAATGACATAAAGCAGGAGCTAACAAGTGACCTAGAGCAGGGGATAACAAACTATGGCCCACAGGCCAAGTCTACTCCACTCCTTGTTACTGTAAATAAAGTTTTATTGAAACACGGCTATGCCCATTTGTTTAAATATTGTCTGTGGTTGCTTCATGCTACAATGGCAGTTGTGAGTTTGTCACAGAGACCCTATGGCCTGCAAAACCCAAAATATTTATACTATCGGGCCTTTTATAGAAAAACTTTAAAGCTCACAGGTCCCAAATTATGCCCTTATGGCCCCCGATAGAAGGTATTTGGTACCACTAACTATTCAGTAGCAGGGCTGCCTTTAATCACTAATAATTGAAAACAGCCAGTCCACATATGCAGCGCAGACGTGGTCAAATGCAATATTAAGGCACTGTTCCCTCCTATGAGGGAAGAGGATTCAAGGACACAGGTCACGGGCTTCCCTCTGCCCTGACAGTCACGCCTCCACTTTGGGCTCGTGGCAGGTACCCCATCCACACTCCCCGGGAAGGCTGCTACGGAGACAAGGATGAGTTTCCTGGCGTGAGGACCTACGGCGTCCGAGACACCAATGAGACCTACGATGTGTACTGCTTCGCAGAGGAGATGGAGGGTGAGGCCGCCCTACCCCCCAAGAGGCACCCTGCTCCCATCCCAACGGCCCCCTTCCCCTCCACGTCACCCCACTGACACGTGGGATCACGCAGGCCTCCTCTGGGCTGGGTGCTAGCTCAGGGCCTGACACACTCGATCCTCCCCTGCCATGAAGGCAGGAGGCAGGAGCCCACAGGTCTGGACCCCTCTGTCTCCACTTTGGAGAGGGGCTCGGTGGCCCCAACATCTGCAAACTGCCTGTGTCACCACTGGGCCCAAGGGCATGTGTCCCGGAAGTCTTTCACCTGGGACTGACCCTCCCAGCCAGGACCCTGGCTGCTCACGCCGGCTCATCCCCATCCTCAGGTCCACTGCACCCGCCTCATCACCCTGCCAGGGAGGGGAACAACAGGAACATAGTTCCCAGGACAGCCGGCTGCCCAGCCCCCGCCCACTGTCCCTGTTGCCAGCCCCCTGCCGTATTCCAGGCCTGCCCCATGGGCTAGTTCTGGAGAGAATTAGGGGTGGTGGGGAGGAACCTGGACCTTTGCTCTGTTTTGTAAAGGGCACTAATTTTGGTCGCAGAGTTTCCCAGCCACATGGATGACACCCTTTCCCCCATCTGCACCGGTATACCCCTTTGGACATTTCCGACTCTGCCACTTGTGTGTGCCCCCCAACAACGCCCAGCCGCAAGCACAGTGCTCTCAGCTCCTCCAGGCTGGGGGCAGAGCTGACGCACTGGCTCGTTCAGAGACACAGGCGACACCGTAGCCTCCTTCCTCATTCTCGCCCCAGGGGCCAAACCTGTCTATTTGGTAGCAAGTATTTGTGTTCCCATGTGTGGCTAACCAAAGACAAATAGAACAGCCAGTCAGAGCTGCCACTGAGCAGATGCCCACCGCCCCCATCCCTGCCCCTGGCACAACCTCGTTAGATTTTTGGGAATATTCTTTTAAAGCTCACAGGTCCCAAATTATGTCCTTACAGACTCTTCAGAGCTTAGAGACCCCAGTTTGGGAAACACTGCTCTAGCGGTTCAAAGTCTGATGCCTGTTTTTCCTGTAAGAATATGGATTTTTTTAAAAAAAGATTTGCCTCTGCTGGGCAATGCTTAACTCCCGGGACAAACCCCCCAGGATGGGAAGTTGGCCCAGCACACAGCCGGGCAAAGGGGCTTTTGAGCGAAGATTGTGCCTCCCAGATTTTGTTTGCTCTGCCCTCTGCCCAACATCGTTGGCATTTTGGCTGCTTCTTTCTTGGTGCCTCTGTTTTAGGAAAATGATGTTGTCCTGCCCAAAAGCCCAGAAAAAGATGGAAAGTGGGAAATGAAGGGCGAGATCTGAGATACGGACATGTGAGACCGGGGCTTTGGGAAGTTAGAGGCCACACCGAGTTGGAGAACTCTCAAGACCTTGCAGAAAAAGATCCTCGTGGATCTCCCCGGGGATGCGGGCAGGGGAGGCAGAGGGCGACCCTCACCCTGCCTGCCATGTCCCTCACAGGCGAGGTCTTTTACGCAACGTCCCCGGAGAAGTTCACCTTCCAGGAGGCAGCCAACGAGTGCCGGCGGCTGGGCGCCCGGCTGGCCACCACGGGCCAGCTCTACCTGGCCTGGCAGGGCGGCATGGACATGTGCAGCGCCGGCTGGCTGGCCGACCGCAGCGTGCGCTACCCCATCTCCAAGGCCCGGCCCAACTGCGGGGGCAACCTCCTGGGCGTGAGGACCGTCTACCTGCACGCCAACCAGACGGGCTACCCCGACCCCTCGTCCCGCTACGACGCCATCTGCTACACAGGTGGGGCCTGGGCTGGAGCCAGGAGGGGGGTTTGCACCGCTGAAATGGGGGCCCGGAGGAAGAGAAGCTCTTGGAAAGGGAGGGTTGGGTTTTCTCCTTCAAGAGGCCACTGGGTACCAGAACCCCGTATTTTCACTGGTTCCTGGGAAGAGCTGCGGTAGACACTCCGGAGGCTGCAGCGTGTCCAGCCCTGTCCCACCGGATCCGCACGGAAGAGGGTTAAAAGCATGAGCTTCAGAGTCTGTGTTTTCTCAGCTCCGCCACCGGCTACTGTGCGACCCTGGGAAAGTGAAGGGCCTGAGCCTCACTCTCCTCGTCCGTCCAGTGGGGCGATGGCGGCACTGCCTGACATGAGGCCAGGTGCCCACAGGAGGGCGCTGTTATCCGCCCTTTGAAATTGATTGCACTTAACAGGAGGGTCAAAGAATTACTGAAAAGAGTAGCGGAAAGCTCGACAGGGACTTTATTTTGAAAAATTAGACTAAAATTTTTAAATAATTTTTTTATCTTATATTTAATACAATTTAGGTTATAATTATAATGAAGTGCTAATTCTTGGAGAAAAAAAACAATGAATAACATGCATGAGGAATTGCATTGACTTTATGACAGAATTGGTGACAACACAGTGACAGCTCATTCCATGTTTCATTTCCGCAGCCCGATCTTACGTGAGGAGGGTTATTTTTGCAAAAATACTTAGGATTTTCCCCCAAAGCCTCTCTTAACCTTTTGATATCCTAACCACTCTTTTGGAAGTAGTGTCGCCCTCACGAGACCCTCATTTGTCCGCGACTGTGAGCCAAGCAGGTCTCCAAAGTCGCTTCCATCAATTCTATGAACTGCGTCTCCTGCAAGACTTTACGGTTTCTCTTTATAACTGATACACTGTCCCATTGGAGAGTTACAACATCAGACGGTGGGCAGGACGCTCATGAGATGGGTCGAGTGGCAGCTAGTGTTAAGCGGAAGGATGTCAGGGTGGAAACCGATTTTAGAAGCAGTGATCTCATAGGGGGCGCTCTCTTGCCCCCTGGTGACTCTTGCGTTCTTTTGCAATCTTGAAACTGGGGGTTTCTGTGGGGCCTCCTGTAAAGAAAGCTCAGAGAGTGCAGAGTCCTGCCACGGGCCCAGCGGGGCAGGAGGAGGATCCCACATTCCTCTCCAGCCCAGTCCTCATCCCCCTCGCGCCAGTCCCGGGCTGAGCAGCTAAAGCTTGTCTTTGCCCCCGTCCCAGGTGAAGACTTTGCGGACATCCCAGAAAACTTCTTCGGGGTGGGGGGTGAGGAGGAGATCACCATCCAGACGGTGACCTGGCCTGACGTGGAGCTGCCACTGCCCCAAAACATCACCGAAGGGGAAGCCCGCGGCAACGTGATCCTCACCGTGAAGCCTGTCTTCGACGTCTCCCCCACCGTCCTGGAGCCCGAGGCGCCTTTCACATTCGCCCCTGACATAGGGGCCACCACCGTCCCTGAGGCCGAGAACAGGACTGGAGAGGCCACCAGGCCCTGGGGCTTTCCCGAGGAGTCCACACCTGGCCTGGGCTCTGTCACGGCCTTCACCAGCGAGGACCTGGTCGTGCAGGTGACCATTGCCCCAGGTGCAGCTGAGGTCCCTGGGCAGCCACGCTTGGCAGGTGAGTACCTGCCCCTCGGGGGATGCAACGGGGGCAAGTGGAAAGAACTTGGCCTTGGGGTGAGGGGCTGTCCTGGCTGCACCAACTTGACCTGGCACCTGGGACAAGCTTCTGTCCTCCCAGACCTTGCTCTCCCCACCTATGAAGCCAAGTGGACAGGCCAGACCAGGCATGTCCACGCTCTTGCCGCAAAGGACTATTTCAAATGAAGTCGTATGGGGGAGCCAGTGTGTAGATCAAGTAGACAAAGGTGCCACACGGATCTGAGTGAAGTAGAGTGGAGAACTGAGGCTCCTCCTGTCCAGGGACCCTTCTCGCCCCGTCAGGCACCTCCACAAAATAGAACCATTAGAAAACCTCTGCACTGGGCGACCCCCGAGGCCTCTCACGGCCCTGACCTTCCAGCACAAGGACCGGCAAACTGCGGGCCAAGTTTCGCTGTTCTTATGTGGCCCGGGAACTAAGAGTGGTTTTTACATTCATAAGTAGGTGGGGGTAAAAAATTAAAAAAAGAATAATATTTTGTGACACGTGAAAATGATATATTAATCAAATTCAAATTGCAATGTCCACAAATACAGTTTGAGTGGAGCAAAGCCATACCCGTGTCGTCTGTGGCTGACTTAGGATAATCACGAGTGAAGTGACCGTAACAGAAACCACGTAGCCCACAAAGCCTAAAATATTTCCCATCTGGCCGTTTCCGGAAAACGCTTCCAAACCCTGTTCTAGGATAACGGTGTTCCAGGTGCTTCACAGATGTCCAGGGAGTTTGGGGATGTCACACAGCATGGAGCTCAGGTGTTTGCCAAACTCTTCCATAGACAAGAAGGACATTCCGGTGTGGCCTCCACAAGGCCCTGGGTGGACACTGCCATCCACCGTCACACCCACATTGCCCCAAGCGGGATTTCAGCCTGAATTGCTTAGATAAACCCCGTGTGTCAGACAGGAGGAGGAGCCCCCATGCCCATGGAGCCTTGAGAACCAGGCACAGTGGGCACCTGACTTCTCTCCGCTTCTCTCCGTCTCCTCGCCACCAGGGGTCGTGTTCCATTACCGCCCGGGACCCAACCGCTACTCGCTGACCTTCGAGGAGGCCCAGCAGGCCTGCCTGCGCACCGGGGCGGCCATCGCCTCGCCGGAGCAGCTCCAGGCCGCCTACGAAGCAGGCTACGAGCAGTGTGACGCCGGCTGGCTGTGGGACCAGAGCGTCCGGTGAGGCACGAGCTGGGCTTCTCTCCCAGCCCGAACCCAACCCTGAGAGGTCGAGCTTCACGAGCCACGGCCCGGCACAGCCCCAGCACAGGGCACCCGACACCTTGTGGATGAATTAATGAGTTAATGGCCCCACAGCTGCTCCCCGGCTTCTCCTTGGAACTGAGGCATATCCTGAAAGGCTGGTGCAGGGCTCTGGGTGATGTTAAGTTCTTGGTCATTTCCCCCCAAGAGACAGAGGGAGCCCTGCTCCAAAGCCCCCTCCTCAAGCCCCTTGTCCCCTCCAGCTCGACCCTGTGCCCTCCCATGCAGCGGGCTCTCTGAAGCCAGGGATCCCCCCAGAGGCCCCAAGACCCTTCCCCCGGCTGCTCAGGGGACTTGCTGCGGGAGGGGCTCCTTCCTGATTCTAATCTATCAGACAACCGGAGACACGCCCGGCCCAAGTCCCTGAGTGGCCTCAGCCTCACCCCAGGGCCCTGCATCCCCCAGGATAGGCCCTTATCCTCCCTCCTTTGCAGATACCCCATCGTGAGCCCACGGACCCCATGTGTGGGTGACAAGGATAGCAGCCCGGGGGTCAGGACCTACGGCGTGCGCCCGTCATCAGAGACCTATGACGTCTACTGCTACATAGACCAACTGGAGGGTAAGGGCCACATTCTCACAATAAGCTCTGTGGGCACATGAGTCCATTTGTTATAAATAAATGTTATATATACCGTCTGCCTTTTGGAGAGTCCCCACGCCTGTGAACAAATCAAAGGCTCTGAAAAGTCCTGCAGTAAAAGACCTCTTTAACTCTGTTTAATCCAGCATCGCCAAAGCTTATTTCCTCACAGATCTTTATTTTGTTTTATTTCATTTCTTTTAATTTCAATGGAAATCACCAAATTACTATTCCACTGAACCCAATTTTGGACATGCTGGTGTTCTGGAAAGATTTCAGCATCGCCACTCAATTGGTTTCGGGACTCTGGGCAAGTCACTTAACCTCTGTGGCTTCGATTTCCTCATCCGTAAAATGCGGCTGATTATACCCACATGAGAGGCTTTTCTGAGTGTTAAATGAGATATATATGAAAAGTGCCTGGCGCAAGTGGGTGTTTGGTACCTGCCAACGCCCTTCTGCCTGAAGCGGACAGGCACCCGATGGCTGTAGTGCTGAGTGTTGGGGCCCACCCGCTGCCCTCAGTGAGTTCGCAGGGCATGGGGAGCAGGTCCACAATGATCACAGCGCTCGGTGACAAGTGCAAGGGGATCGGAGGGTGCCTGGGTGAACCAGCTCTCTGGGCCAGGGCAGGGTGCCTAAGTGTGACAGAGAACCCGGAAAGGGGGAAAGGAGGGGAAGTTGCCTCCCTGCGGAGTGGCCAACTCGTCCCAGTCCAGCTGGGACTTTGCCCTTTTAGCACTGAAAGCCCTGGGGCCCCGGAAACCCTAGGCCCGTACAACTCAGGCACGTGGTCACTCCATTTCCCGGCGTCCCGGGAGACCTGAGGGGCAGTAGTCAAGGCGGCGGGTGGTGCAAGCGAGCTGGGCTGGGCCTTCACCTGTGTGCGCCGTGGCGGGCGTGGAGCCCGGTGAGGAGGGGCGGGCGGGGGAGCTCTGCCCCTGCTCTGGCCGTGGGCGTGGAGGGTCACCCCCACCTGCCTCTGTCCCCAGGGGAGGTGTTCTTTGCCACCCGCCCGGAACAGTTCACCTTCCAGGAAGCACTGGAGTTCTGTGAGTCCCAAAATGCCACGCTGGCCTCCACGGGCCAGCTCTACGCCGCCTGGAGCCGCGGCCTGGACAAGTGCTATGCCGGCTGGCTGGCTGACGGCAGCCTCCGCTACCCCATCGTCACCCCCCGGCCTTCCTGTGGCGGGGACAAGCCGGGCGTGAGAACCGTCTACCTCTACCCCAACCAGACAGGCCTCCCAGACCCGCTGTCCCGGCACCACGCCTTCTGCTTCCGAGGTATGTGACGTCACCTCTCCTGGGAAGCCCCTTCTGCCTGGGGGGGCTCCCGCCCACTATGCCCATCTACCAAAGCACACAGGAAAAAGTCAGTCCCTCTGGGGCTGGGGCAGCTCTGGAGTGAGCATGACCTTAGGCTTTGATCCCAAGGCAAGATCATCCTTCTAAAGTTCCCCATAGACAAGTAGAGAAAAGTCAGAAAGAACTTGGGCTCTAAAATCAGGCAGACTTGAATTCGAATTATGGCGCTGCTACTTAATAGCTGTGTGAGAATGGGGACATAACGGTTCCTACTTCAAAGAGAGGTGCTGTAGGGACTAACTGGAATAGTGCGTGTGATGCATTTGGCATAGTGCCGGGGACATAGTAAATGCTCAATAAATGTTAGCTTTATTTTATATATATTTCTATATACGTTATGTGTGTATATAATATACCCTTATTTTATGCACCCTTTCATTTGTACACCCTTGTCAAATTCTCTCCTGCTTGGAAATATTTTTGCGATGAGTTTAGTAAAATTATTCTGTTGTTCTTTACTAAACACCGGTAATTCACGTTTTTAATTGACCCGTGCTGTGGACACGCTACCGTATCACCCATCACTCCCAGTTAGATCTCTGAGAGGGATGTCATGGAGCAATGTGGTGGGCGGGGCCAGAGCAGGGCCAAGGCATTGCTGGGCTCTGATTGGACAAGTTCTCACAGTGTCCGTGGAAGGTCCGGGCGCACTGACCAGAAGGGAGATTGTAATAACAGCTCGTGCCATATTTTAGGTACTATACATCAAAACTGAGAGTCTTTGCAACTTCCTGTGAATCTATAATTATTTTTAAATAAAGTTAAGGAAAAACAAAAACCCTGAGTATCCCCAAGTTTCCCAGACTTCCAGGGTCACCTTCTGAAACCCAATTCCAAGTGCAGCCCCATTTCGACAGCGTCAACGAGGCCCGTTCTCTCCCAAAGGATTTGATGAGGCGCTTGTCTCGGAACCCCTCTCCCTGCTCTGGGCGGCGGAAGCTAAGCCGGCTAGCCTCCCAGGAAATCTCCAGCCGTGTACCCCCACCCACCTACCCTGACCCTTGGTCAGCTCAGCCTTGTATATTACCCTGCAGAGAAATTCACCTTCCTTCCTGACCAAGCCTACTGCTGGTTTCCCCAAAGCCAGAACAGTTACCCCAGTCTGTGAGTCCTGCTCGCACCCCTCCAAGTCCCAGGATGGCTTCATGGAGTTTAAATAGCACCCTCTTGTTTTTGGTCCTGACGCCCTTGGAACATAATCTCTGTCCCCAATATAGGCAGCATCGTGCAGTGGCTGAGAGCATGGAGTCTTGTACCAGATGCTTGAATTCAAAGACTAGATCTGCCACTTATAAGCCACTGACCCTGGATAAATCATGTAACTCTGTGCCTCAGTTTCCCCATCTGTAAAATGGGATAATTAGTATCTATCTCATAAAGTTGTTGTGAGATAAGATGATTTTATATACATAGAACTTTTAGTATAATGCCTGGCATGTATGATAGACTCTGCAGGAGAGATGCCCCAGACCAGCCTGAACTAAACCGCTGATGGTGTGTGCCTATCGATATTGTATAGTTGATGCAAAGGCTCTTATTAATTGAGACAGCAAAGAGCCACCTCTGAACTGGGAGGTGGGGTGGGGGTAGGCCAGCATGGCTCTCGTACAGGCCTGGTTCCCCTCACAGTCCCCTAGCTCCCCTGAGGAAGGGCCAGCCTAGACAGGTCACTGGCAATTGAGGGACCCTCACCACCCACATCCCCTTTAGGTGTTTCAGCAGTGCCCTCTCCAGGAGAAGAGGAAGGTGGCACACCCACGTCGCCCACTGATGTGGAGGACCGGATCGCTACCCAAGTGGTGCCTGGTGTGGCTGCTGTCCCCTTGGGGGAGGAGA